GAAAAAAGAAAAGTCATTTACAAAAGTCGCCAATAGGGAAGATTTTGACGCTGTTGTCATGTACATGTTTGCATAACATGACAAATTTTAAGATAGAGCACAACCACATATTCTTTATTCAGTACAGAACCTTTTACGGCTGTATTTTGGTAATGAGAAAATCATCAGCCAATGTTTACCGAGGTACTGGCCATCCCATTCCTTCCACAGGGCCGGATTTAGATGAAAAGAGGGCCTAGGCTATTCCCCTTATGAGGCCCTTTCACCTCCCATTTTTAAGTTTCTAAATTACTTATTATGTTTGTTTATTAGACATATGTGTAGAATTTCTCCTTATTTTTGATTCAGTGTTTTAGTGTTTTTAGAATAGTGTAATTCTAATTTTGCTAACGATTTGAATGTAAGCCCCTCTTGATCTTGAGACCCTAGGCCGAAGCCTAGTTAGCCTATAGGAAAATCCGGCCCTGCCTGGACATCATCCAATGTGGAGGTACCTTAAATCCGTCGTGCATGCTGGTGATGTTACAAACCATTACATTTATTTCCTTGAAAGAAAACATATGACGAGTTGTTATAAACTTCCAAGGTGACAATTTATTCGTGGTAGTAGAGAATGTCATGCACTAGTTTTTTTTTGTATCACGCAGGGAAGAACATCACATTGAAAATATTGCACGTGGCCCTGGGGACCCTAATGTTGATTAATGAAAGATTATTTTCCATGAGTTTCAAATTGTTGTCCTTCATTTCGCCCTGTTCTTTATTTTATTATTTGAACATTATAATAAAAACTTGGCATAAACCATTTTCCGTGCATTTTTTTTTTTGAAATTATTGATTTTTTTTTGTTGTTGTTTCCAACATCTTCCAAATAATGTATGAACTACGAAATTTGAAAAATCTACCTAGATTGTGGATTTCATAGTGCGTACATGACAGTAGTGTTAAAATCTCCCCTATTGGCGACACTTTTGGTGCTTTTATTTTTATTTGGGGAAATCATCTTCCCATGTCTTCCACAGTCTGCATATTAAATTTGGTTAGTAAGTTAGTATGTTAATGAAAAATTGCATTACATTTTAATAGAAATTTACATTAAATTCTTCTTTAATTTTTTAATATACATTAATTTTTTTTTTTTTACATTTATTCTTTACTATTTCTTTTGCTCTTATTCTACACGTGGAGACACTGATGTATACAATGGCTTTAAATTAAAGGATCGCGCCCCAACACAGCATTGATATATTTTTTGAGTAGAATTACAGGAGAAATAAATAAATATGGTGGGGCTAAGATATTATTCGGTTATAATGAAGTTTAACACGATAAATTTGATAGTGATTTTTTTGTCTGAGGTATATTGCCCAAAATATAGCTCTTCCATCAACATGCACGTACTCCAAAACAGAGACCAGCTCCTGATACCTAAATACACTACGTAAAAAAGTAGAAGGACACTTGATTTTGTAACAATAACCAAAAAATATTTTATTTTTACTAAAATGTTTTATTAGAAACATTTTACAAATATTTTAAAAATACAATTTTAACATCAGAATTATGATATTCAAACATAAAATATTAATGGCAACAAAAATAGTTTCTCTTTTTGAAACGTTGTAAAAAAAGTAGAAGGACAGCATTACAATGAATGAAAAAAATTAGTGATTTTAATAAGGAATGTTCTTCCCATTGGCCTTTATGACTTCAAATATTCTGTTTGGAAGTGAATTGTATAGAGATTGAACTTCTGTTTGACAAATATTGTCCCACGAGTCATTCAATGTTTCTCGAAGCTGAGTTAACGAATCAAATTGCCTTCCATCAGCATAAACTCGACGAACTAGCATTGCCCAGATGTTTTCCACTATATTAAGGTCAGGACTTTTGGCTGGCCATGATAAAACATCCACATTATTTGTTAGGAACCAATTTTTGACTCTAGTCGCGGTGTGAAGGGAAGCTCCGTCTTGCTGAAACTTCCACTCTTCACCCCCAAGTCAGAGCCATAAGGAAGAAGCTCGAATTCAGCACTTGAATGTAGTCTGTATGTTTTTGCCTACCATTTAAGAAAACCAGACTTGTCCTTCCTCCGTATCCGACAGCCAACCAAACCATTAAACTCCCTCTTCCCATTTGTCGTGTTGAATAGTATTCGCCTTCATTCCCAAGACAATGCCAGTAGTGCTGATATCCGTCTGGACCGTCTAAGTTAAATTTCTTTTCATCGGAAAATATCACAGAAGTCCATTCTGTAGTCCAGGACATGTGCTCCTTAGCCCACGCTAAACGGTTATCAATGTGAGCTTGTGTCCACTTAGGATGATGTTTCCGTTTTTTGAAAATGAATTTTTAGATCTTTTAATATAGTTGTAAACTGTTTGTTTCGTCACATGATCAAGTCCTGCTTGAGTTCTTGCCTTTGAAACACTTCCTTTGTTCTTCTTAAGCACACGAACAAGTTTTCTTTCATAACGTGGTGTTAACTTTTTCGGTCTACCAGTCCTCTTTTTCTTTCCATTTTTATAAGGATTTCTGATAAAGTTTGAAACTGTATTGGGCTCACCTGCAACAATCGAACAATCTCTCTGACACTTTTACCATCATTTTGATATGCGGAAATTTGGCCTTTTAGAAAATCGTTCAAAGGTATTCCTTTAGGCATTTCTGAGAACGGAGAAACAGCGTAACTTTTAAACAAATTAGATTTTTTTGACAGAAAAGGATAAAACAAAGTACAAAATCACTATTTAACTAAAGAACAACTCACTAAATTAAATATATTAGCAAGTGTCCTACTTTTTTTACGCATCGGAAATTATATATACTAATTTTATTATTAATATTAGTGGTAGATGTTTAATTTTTGCCTAAAATGAAAAAAAAAAAGGGTCATTAAACTAAATCTGCATAAATATCTGATAGTTAGGAGAAAATAAGCGATATTAATTGGCAAAAAAAACACTGTCCTTCTATTTTTTTTTACGCAGTGTACGTATTTATATGTTATTTGGCATAATATTCCTAAACCTAGAAAGTAAATATGAGGGAATTATATAACGTAATGTAATAATGCAGATACATGCACCAAATTTTCTAATAGCATGGCATGAATTTCGAGTTGTTAAGAGGCATATACTAAAAATTTCTTTTTGAAACATTAAAAGTATTTAATGTATACTTTAAAAATATTTAATACCCCGAGGTTTTTAAAGCATTGATTACACATAGAAATTAAATGTAAATGAAAATTGTCTAAGAATTTGTGGCGAACTTTTTATAAAACATCCCTTTCTAACATTTTCTTATTATCTTCCAAGGAGAACTAAAACAAGATTAAAACACGCTTATCTTTCTGCTCACTTACTTTTTATTTCTTTTCACAGGCGGTGATATGAGTCCGAGGTTGAGGCAATTGAGCTACATGCCTGTCATTTCCTATCCCAGATGCAATCAAATGTTTTCAGAGAGATTGTCAAACTTTCAGCGACAATTTCCACGAGGCATTACAAGCCAGTTTGTTTGCGCCGGATTCATTGATGAAAGTGGAAAGGACAGTTGCGGTGTAAGTGCAAATACTTTTTTTTCTATATTTTTTTGGAGAGTTAAATCTCATTAACGACAACGAAAGTTCTTCAGTTATTTTAAACACATATTAATTTGAAACATTTAACACATTTGAGTTTAAACAAGTTTCGGTTGCAGAGTTTTTACCATGTTGGATTATAAGTCGATGATTCTCATAAGCAATAACTAGACTGGATTGCCTACAGTCTTTGGTACTGACAAATTATTATGGCAGAATTTTCTTTTTATAGATTGATTTGGAAAATTTGGTAAATCATATCTATATAGTCTTACTTATCTTCTGTGTGCAAATGACAAAAAAAGCTATATCTATTGTATGTACAGATATCCATTACTGCTGATAACATGAATAGAATCTGATAATGCATTTAAAATACCAATATAAGTAAAAAATATTTTTTAATGCTATTTAAGTATAAAAAAACATTTTTATGGAGAATTTCATGGCAGCAGACTATTACAAAAGACTATTATAAAATACAATTGAATTTTACTATAACAAATGACTATTAAGGATATACCAATATAATTTGAAATTCAACTTAAAAACTTTTACCTTGAGATTATGTTACTTGATCACTCAGATTTGATCTTAGTTTTCACCCAAAAAAGATAAAATTTAGTTTTCTTCCAACAAATACTAGATCTTTTCGTATTTAACGCAAAAGGTAAAAACAAAAGGGACACAATACTCTGGTCTATGCTGTTGTATTAACGTGTAAAAACCTCTTTGAGCAGATTTGCAAAGGGGAGGGGGTGCGATTAAGCGACATGAGGGGTAATGGATGAAACAGCAAAACAAAGAAATGAATGAATGGTATAGACATATATTAAAACATAATGATGTTACAATATTAATGTTTATACAATGGGCAAATCTACCTGAATCAGGCTGCATAAAGTTTGCTCCGCAATTCACTGGGGTTTCTAGCAAAGATACAGTCGATGGTATGTTCCCGAGGGTAGGGATTTTTTTGGTAGTAATGTATGTACTAGAGCGCCTGATAAGCCAAACGTCTACCTCGGGCCCTGTACTCACGTTGTCTATCTGTATATGGATTTTGGAGCTCTTTTCTTGGATTTTTCTCGAATCCTTCTACTTTCAGCAATACGTTTCCTCGAATTTTGTTTCCACTTTCGTTGCATATATCGTTGTTTGTTGTTGTTGTTTCTTATCCCACTTGGCTGGCCAAGCCCACGAGCCCATACGTACTCATGATTAAAGGGGAAGGAAGCAGCTTCTGTTGTGATGGAGCACCCGTAGGTAGAAGTCTGACTTTTGGCTCCGTGACGCTCTTACAGTCCTAGGAGACCGGGACCTACGGCTTAAAGTGGTAACCCGAAACCTGTGGCACAGAGCGCCAGAGCGCTAGACACTCGGCCATTCAGGTCCCAAATTTGTGAATGCCAACGGCACGCGGTGTTCCCAGGTGGTCACCCACCCAAGTACTGACCGCGCCCAATGATCCGGTGATCTAACGAGAACCAATATATCGTTACTGGTATAATAAAATTCCATCAAAAATTTCACTTATTTTCGGATTGCACATGTATATGTTTTATTTTATTGTGGCTTTTATTGTTATAATTAGTTAAATAACTCCCGTAAAAAGTTTGGATACCTAGATATAACCAACGGGAATTGAACGCGGAACGTCGAATTTAGGCTAACCCCGGCTGTTTTCTAAATTCAATTTAACCAAAAGTAGTTTTCCAAGTTCAGATCCGTTAATATTGATCTTTACAACTTTCTATCAGTAAGCCCAACAACTTTAAGCAATGACATGTTAAGAGCGGAAATGGAAGCACATACATATCAGATAATCGATGAACTGTCAGACACTATTAATTAACTTCGGTCGACCATCCAAGAACATTTGCAGCAATTGGTAAATTATACAAAGCAAGTGTTTGGGTCCCACATAATCTGTCCGAAGAAAACAAAGCTAACCACATGCAACTTACCCCCTCCCTCCCAGTAGAATCTTTCAACTTTCCTCTACGTAATGATATATTTAGATTTTCTAAATTAAATATGATTTTATAATTATTAACAATTCAATTTGGTCATGAAAATATAAAACCCCAATCCTGAATCACTATCCATACGAACCGATTTTATAGAGGTTTTCCCTTAAAAAGTTTCATCAATTAAAATTCCAAATTAATTTATATATATATATAATTTTGTTAATATACATATATTAATTTCGTTACATTTTTTATTCCAGTTCAAGTTAGAGATTTATAAACAATTTAGCAATTCTTCTCTATAGGCTACTATTGTCTTAAAATTTTATGTAAACTTATTTTAACACGTAATTTTATTCTACTGCGAGAAATTCAATTTGGAAACTTTTTAGGGAGGTAGTTTAAATATTACATTTAAATATATTTTCACAGTTTTTTTTTTAAAAATCAAATGTAGCTTAGAGTTAAATTTTGAACAAAAGCTTAAAATGTTGAAGTAATATTTTTTAAATTTTATTTTTAGGGTGATTCTGGGGCTCCCTTGATGTTGCAAGAAAACGACCAGTGGTACGCCATAGGAATCGTGTCGTTTGGATTCGCTTGCGGTAGACAAGGCTATCCAGGAGGTTACACAAGAATGTCTCACTACTTGAACTGGATTGAAAGAAATACTCAAAGTTAATCTCCCTAAAAGCGAGTTATTCACTAATTTCAGGATATTTATGTATTATTAGCTACTTCTGTAAATGATTTATCTTCAATATTTATTTATATCTCATCATTTCATGAATAAAATCCATTTTAATAAGATGTATGGGATCTTTTATTGTGTGCATTAAATTATAAATTCTTCTTCAATGGCGCAACTGCCTCATGTTGGGCCAAGGGCGTCTGCCTACTTGTAGATTTTGAGATAAGAGATGTTACGGGGTAAGGTTGTCAGTTCTACATCTCAATGTTCAACAGTTATATTAAACGACCTACGGTTTAAAGTGGATTCCGAACCACTGCTAACTTCCACGGTACCACTATTGTCTTGAAATTTTATGTACACCGTGGACACCAAGCTCGTACCCGAAACCTGTGGCACCGAGATCCACCGCGCTAGTCACTTGGCCATCAAGCCAAATTATCCATTACAAAAAGCAAAAATACCAAATTATCCAGATTATTTCAATTTTCTAACAGGACAATTCAAATTTATACTTTCCCAGTTAGATATGAAACATTAACTGTCAAGCATGATATTATTTATAGATACGAACTTGTACAACTACGCTACGGATTTTCGTGCTGCATATTATTTTGAAACAATACAATAAAAGTATTAACGCAGTGTAAATGATGAGCATTCGTTGATTGTTCAGAAATACATAAAATATAGTGAACTGAATTATTAATTCTAATTACAAAAAAGCAATAGTATATAAACCAACAGCTAAAAACCATAGGAAATTTAGAATCAAAAACTAAAATACCGCTTAGCTTCACTTCATATTTACACACTTCAAATTCTTCAACACTTCAATTACTTCAATTTGACTGAATGAATTGCATATTATTATGTTTGTATTTTGGAAAATTATTAGCAATTTTCTTGGTTAGAAAATCCCTTATTTCTCTTCAATTAATTGTAAAACATTGTAATTTAATTAAGCCACATAAGTTTACGAGAAATCTGTTGTTATAAGTCATCATCTTGCTTAACTATGTTGCTTTTGTGAAACAACATTGACTCCAATACAAATACATTTATTTCAAATTAACATTTTTCTTTTATTTCATGTGTTTTTATCATTCGATCTAGCAATAATACAAATGATATTCCCAAAATTGAGGGCACACTTATTTATTAAATGGAAAAAATTTTATAGGGGAAAAAAAGTCATTTAATAAAAAATAATAAAACTTTATTAATATGTATTATAGTATTAAAACTAGTATTAGTAAATTAAAACGTTTATTAAAAAAGCAAAGTCTTAATATTAGTATACATTAAATTTTTATTAATATTATTATGATTATCGAAAATAATGAAACTATTATAATTAATCTATTTTAAATGTATAAATAACAGCATATAAAAGAAATGTTCAAGATTTATTCAAAAATTAAGAATACATTCAAATATATATTCAATCACAATTAAGTAAAAACTAGAAATTAATATTTAGTAGCAAATATTTGCTATTATCCAGTTTTTCAACCATTACTACTTCAATCTTCATTCAATTTAAGAAGGCTTTAATGGTTTCAACGCAAGTTTTGAAAAACATTTTCAGCAATATGAGTTTCAAATGCTTTTTTTTAGTAATGTGATGTTGTATAATCTTCTCAAGAAGGAGCATAAATTTTCATTAAAAGTTGGATTGGGAGACTGCCAGCTTTATAAGTTGATATTTACAATGGTAATATAATGATTTCTAATATATGTATGGGAATAACTACATTACATGCATGAGAATATAACTCTGACTTTGTTTTTTGTTCTACTGAACTGTTTATCGGCAAAATTGATAGAAAATTGAATAAAAAATAATTAGTTAATTCTAATGTCTAACACATGACATCTAACAAATAATTTATTCATATATCAACTAACATGTAGACATAAAATACATAGTGTGAATTTAATAATTGTGAATATAATAGTATATAGTGTATAATAGTGTGTGAGAATATAATAGTATAATAGTGTGAATATAATAGTTTCTAATATATGTATGGGAATAACTACATTACTTTAATATGTATTTTGACCTCAATCCCAATTTATCAATGCTATCCTTTTTATTTTTTATATATCAATATGTCATCTTGTGCAATATTTCATCAATAAAGATTTTTCCCACTCTTTCTGCTAAAACATACTATCTATAAGCCTCCAAACCATCACAAACCCAATTACATCCTTTATAGTTGATATTAAAGTTTTGAGACAGAGAGCATTCTTTGCAACGTCCGCCTTTGACAAAATGTAAATATACATTCACTGAAATTAACTTCATTTAAAAATACTTTGGGCTTTAAAAGTGATTCTTTTCAATTGTAAATGATTGGCTTTATTTCCTTGATTAAAAAAGGGAATTTTTGAGTTATAACCCTTACAGCCAGTGCCCTTAGAACAATTTCAGTTAAGAATCACTTGTCTTAAGTTGTAAGAAGTACTTTAAGCCTCTTTTTAAAGATATTGAATAAAATTTCTACTTTGACCAAATATTAACACAATCGCTCACAAGAACTAATATTCATTTGAAATATTAATCGCTTGAGTCTTTTTTCACCTCAAGCGTCATTTCACTTAGAGTCCTCATTATTACCTTATTATTTGTAAACAATTACTTTTCGTCAAAAAAATATTCGAGTGAGTTTAGCGAGCTTTTTTTTTGACAGTGTATGTGCATGAAAATTTTATTGTTCGTTTATAAATACTTATTTTAACGATCGCTTTGATTTGGTATGAATACATATAAGCTATATTAATATACATTTATTTTATCAAGAATAATTAGTATAATCAACTGAAAAGTTTTAGAAACGGATAAAAGGCAAATAAATCCCAAAATCATATTCTTTCCACACAGTCTTACATGCCTAATTCCTATTTTTCATGTGGCATATTAGAATCTAACTGTAAATAGAAGATGAAATTAATTCCTCGACTTTCCTTAAATACTGATTTATAATGTATACATACACTAAGAGCCAAAACATACTGCAATGAACTTATGACGTGAAAGGCACGTGATCAGGTGGAAGTGGTATTTCACTGGTATTAAGTGGTTATTAATCCATGCAAGGCGGCTTGAAGCTCTGCGCGCCAAAGGTGGGCCAATGTTATTGACAGGTGGTCATAATGTTTTGGCTCTTGAGTGTAGTTTTTTAATCTGCATTGTCTTATGTAAAAATAAATAAACAAAAACAAGTACAAATACAATTGCACTAATATTTCTTTCTGATGAACATTTTATATATAAAGCAAACTTAACAGTTATGTGACACAGGAAAAAAAATTTCAATTAGCCTTTCATTACGTCCATATGAACTTTATAATCTATTGTCTGCTTCCGTCTGTTTTTAACTTGGTAATAAATAAATGTGCCTAGAGCAAATCCAAAAATAAATAATCCAAAAGAAGCTCCAGCAAGGGTACCTGCAAAAAATTATTACACATTTTATATATATATATATATATATATATATAATAAGTAATTATATATTCTATATTATTCGGAGATAGCAATTATTAAATAAAAATTAACAGCATTATGTACGCCTCTGAGAACTTAGTAAAATGTATCGTATATATTTATTATAAGATACATTTTCTTGTAAGAAAAACAGTGCACTTTCATTAATAAGAACACGAATATAAGAAATGTTTGAATCAGATTAGAGATACGAAAAAAGGGAAATGAAATGAAGTCCACTACATTTTTACTTAAACAAATAAAACAATTTAACTAAAATTAAAAACTAAAACCTCATAAAACTATATAAAAGAAAAAAATTCCGTAATCTTAAAAGAAATGTTTTT